ATGTGCTCAGAGCAATGGCCTCTTATCCACACACATACACACACACACACACACACACACACACACACACACACACACACACACACACACACACACACACACACACACACACAATACAAACACTCTCACACATTTGAAACCCACCTACCTTCTGCCTGTCTATCAGAGGGGGGATACTGTATGAGAGAGCTGAGAACCATCTCATTTCACGACTTTAAATAGATTTTAAAGGAACTGTTCGGAGTCAGAGCAGCTGGATGGAGGTTTCAGAGCTGCAGGTAAACGAAGAACGCCGCCGGCTTCAGACGGTAAAAGCATAATTATGGCAGGCGGAGGTCAGCCATTTGCAGAGCCTGATTTTTTTCATACGTTTCAAAGTGTTTCTGACAGACAAACAACAGAGGGACAAATCATTTTTTTTAGATCAGGGGGCCAAAACTCAAAACTTGGTCCAACCCAAATGTCAATTTCTGTCAATATTTACTGTAGAAATGTCATATAACAAAATATTCATTTAGAAATACAAATGACCTTTTGAAAAAAATATGTTTTATGTAGCATTTAGAACATGCATAACCTAACGAATAAAGAAAATACTATTTGACTTAAAAAAAACATAGCAATCATTTCTTATGCCTCAACAACTTTTTCGTTTATTTTATCTTTAAGAAATATTTTATCGCAAATCAGGTAAAAAAAAGAAAACTCTCACAATAAAATCCAATTATTTGACTTTAAAATAAGGAAAGAATACAGAAAACGATAAAGTTGATTCTCTGTTGCTCTTTCCACGACAAAATCAAAGATAACTAAAAATTACAACTATTTTTCTTGACTTGAAAATTGGCGAGCTGTAATGAGAAGAAAGAGAAACCATAAAATCCTTCTACATTTAAATTATTGACTTTGGGACCGGATAGAATGTTAATGTGGGCCAGATTTGGCCCGCGGGCTTTGAGTTTGACATGTGTTTTAGAGGAATCTGCTCTGAGTTTTGTGTTCTTCTCTGTTCTCACATAAACAAATAAATGTTCGATGTAACGACTCATTGTATCAAATTAATATTGATTTATTTTCTTTGGAAACTTTATCTTTTATTGGGTTTTTAAATGTGTTTTACAGATTTTTATTTACTTTTACAACCAAAACAAACTGTTAACTGATAAACTGCCAATTAAACTGTCAATTAAATTACTTACTGCAGATTAATCTGTACC